GGAATAGGAGGGGGAAGACGGCAGTCAGGCGCAGCTTGTGTTGCTGTCGTTATTCTTGACTTTAAGGTTCTGCGCCGGTGGCTTCCCGGTCGCCATCACAGCGTCCTCTTTTTTCCAGTGTTTTCCTTTTTTTTTGTGTGTCTGTTGTTGTTGCTGTTTTATCTCCGCCTTTGCCGCCCTCTTCCGCCCTTTGCCGTCTTTGTGTGACCCCTTTGTTTTCGGTAGAGGTCCGCGTGCGCGTGCGTTTGTGTGACTTGTAGTTCTCAGAGCATGTCGGACGTGTTTTATCTTAACGTTCCACGGATACGTATGCCGCGTGGGGCCTCAAGCGAGGTTCCTAGGGCTGCTGCGTTGCGGCTGCAGGAGGCTCTGCCGCAAGTGACGCGAGTGGCGACACCGGATGGCGGCTGGGGGGTTCTGCCCATGGCGGTGGGCATTGTGGCGGTGGGCTGCGTCCTCTCAGCTGCGGTGCGGTTTTGGCAGTATCAGCGACGGTGCGGGTCTGCGCTGACGCCTGGTGGTGTGTGTGTGCCGTGGATGGGGCGGGGCCAACAGCTGCAGCGACGCAGGCTGCCTCTGTGGCGTCACCGTCGACTTGTGCAAAGCGCAGATATGGGCGGCAACCCCGCTGCCCCCAAGGAGGCGGTGGGGCCAGGCAGGGAGAAAGCTCCCCAGCCAGCTGTCGGTCATTCGCCAGGTGCCAGTCGGATTGGCGGTGACGATGGTGACAACAGGGATGGTGTGGAGCTCCCCCGGTCTGCTCACTATGCGGAGATGGCGGATGCGCACTGTGACGCACTCGCCTCCTCCTCGCAGGATTCCTCGCTGATATTTATCACGACCACGGGAGAGCAATACAAGCGAGTTTCACAGCTTGGACGCGGCGGCTTCGGCAGCGTCTACAAATGCTTCAATCTTACCACCGGCGAGGTTGTTGTTGTGAAGGAGGTGCGACTGGCGGAGCATAGTGACAAGAACAGCAACAGCAGCAGCGCCGAGGAGCTGCGTTGCGAGTTTGAGTTGCTTTCCCGCGTCACCCACCCGCACATTATCCGCGTCATTGGCTATCATGTAGGGCGACGGCACGCCCGATTGTTCTTGGAGTGGGCTGCGGGAGGCTCCCTGATGGACGTTGTGAAGGGCGTAGGCGCATCCTTTGCGTCAGGTGTGCCGGAGGATCTTGTCCACTCCTACGTTCGTCAGATGTTGGAGGCACTGCAGTGCCTGCACGAGCACGGCATCATTCATCGCGACATCAAGCCGCAGAACATGCTCATTGACCACGCAGGCCGGCTGCGTGTGACGGATTTCGGTCTCAGCCGCCTGATTGGTGAGGGGGCGTCTGCTGTCGAGACGACGGTGGCTGGCACCCCACGATACATGGCGCCGGAGACCATCAGTGGCGCGCGTTTCTCCTGTGGCAGCGATCTTTGGGCGCTGGGCGCAGTCATGTCGGAGCTCTTTACCGGGAGGCCGCCGTGGTCGCACCTGGAGACCCACCAGCTGCCAGCGCTACTGTACCGCATTGCCAACCACCCCGAGGAGCATCCCGTCATTCCTGCCCACATCAGTGCGGAAGCGAAGGACTTTATGGCGCAGTGCTTTCGGCCGGAGCCCGCGGATCGCGGCACAGCGGCCAGTCTCCTGCAGCACCCTTTCCTGACACGCGAGAGGCGCGGGCAACGCACAGCTGGCGAGTAACACGGAACTGAAAAGAAGGAAGAAGAGAGAGAGAGAGAGAGTGAGTGGGATGGGGTGGTGGGGGAAGCGGGAAAGCGGGAAAGAAGAAAAAGAAGAGAGAAGAGAGAAGAGGAAAATAAAAAATGAGGGGACGGCGCTATCATTCTTCTTGGTGGTGAGGGTGGTGGTATGCACCCCGTGATGCACCTTCTTTCTACGGAGCGATGTTGCCATTTGCTGTCTCTCCTACGTGGTATTTTCCTGTGAGTTTGCTTTTGTTTTATTGCGTCGCAAGTTAAAAGCGGAGCGGGAGGGCGAGAGGGGAGAGTGCTGCACTTTTCGTGCCCCCCT